CTCGAATTCTCCAGGACTCATATGCACATAAAAATACTGTGCCAATAACATAACATTATTTAGAAAGTACATATCCCGTATAATTTATCCAAAATCACATCAGCGATTGGAAATTTGCGTATTACTCATTTTGCTATATTCAATATTTTGTTTTGTAAAGGATCCCAATATTTCGATCATCCTCGTTCGATTGCAATTATAACATTACTCGAATCTCATATCTTTATAGTATCGTGTCGCAGCTTCGACTTCAAGGAAAATAATCTACACGAAAAGTGACTCGAAGAAACGAAAACGATTTTACCGTGTTTCCGACATTACCACTAATAACGTTCGAAACGCCAAAGTCTTTAGAGTCGGAAAGAAATTAATTTTCCACGTTTCTAGTATTGATTTTAATCTTGACCTACAACTTTGAAAGGCACTGTATATTTTTTCGTACGAGCCAGTCAGGAGCGAGAGCGATTTAATTTGAATGGCTGGAAGCTTTTCCATGCTGCGAGTGTGTTACTAGAGAGTTCTCGGGAATTATCGCGAAATTTTCTAGTCCGTGGGGTAAATTGTTTTTTCGCAGCACGCGGTTGACGTAGGTTAGTACCTTGAGTAGCGTTGCGTCATCCTTGTCGGGTTATTTCTTCGACTTAAATGTCACTTTCGTTTACTTTTCGCATGAGATAATAGCCGGAGGAGGATTTCTATCGAGGAGACATTGTTGTCTGGGGAGAACGCTATTATCGTTTCATCCTTTATTTAAATAAACCCTCTTTTTCACGGACGTTCGATGCGAAAGACCCGGCGGCAATTAAAAATATCTTTGCACAAATTTACTTCAATCCATTTTCTCAATGAATTTGTGTTTTTGTGTTTATTCGAGAATTGTTCTTTATTTTTGTTTTTGTTATACTTCCATGGAACATTTTACATACGTTACATACATCTTTTCGTACATTCGACGAGAGCACAGAGGTACGTCTAGTAAACAAAACGTTGATCGAAATGAAACAGGAAAGAAACCCTCCAAATGCCTATCCGATCGGTGTTACGAACAGAGTTCTACCGCGTACAATAGATAGTAGAAGTAGATCAAGAGCTTAGAGTGCCGGGTTGTGAAAGACTCTCCCTCTATTATGCGCATTTCAAAGGGCCCAACCTCTCCGGCAAAATTGAGTCAATTATAAGGAGAAAGTTTTTAAAAACGGATCAAGCTATTCCGTATAAATATGGCTTCCACTTGTCCCCCTTTATCGGATTTATTATTTCCCTTTTGCGCAGTTCGCGCGGCGGAACCGTGAGTCAGGGTCCTTCAGCGTTTAGAAGCGATCGTAGCCTACACTTTGTATATTGTAATCGATGATAATTAACGAGAATTAGAAATTTCTATGTACAATATGGTAGACTCGACGATAATTAAGTTACAACTCCTGCAGGGATCTCTATCTTTCGTTCGATGAATACGAAAAATTTCCTGTTGAGCTTCACTTTTCACGTATGTGAAATATCCTTATTGGAAAACTGAGTAACGTGTTATTGAGATATCGGGTAGCATATTATTGGAAAATTGAGTAACGTGTTATTGGAATATCGGGTAACATATTACTGAAAAATTGAGCAACGTGTTATTGAAATATTGAAATATTATCACTGAAAAACTGAATAACGTAATGGTGCAATATTCTAAGTACTGTTATGGGAAAATTGAATAAAATATTGTTGCTATATCAAAGTAAACGCTATCGAAAATATAGAAGCACGTAAATGCACTGGCAGTCCTCCTATACTTCCCTCGAATTCGAAAATCTTGCAGTAATGAAAACGTGATTTCAAGTTTCTGGTATTATTCCCTCGAGCGATGCCGAGTCGCAAGAGGAACGGTGCCAGGATCTGTTCCCCGGAAGTTCCCTTGTCCCGAATGCAACTTATCGATCCTTCGACAGGCCGATTCGAGACCCTCCGCCCAAACCCGCCTCCTCACGGAACTTTCGAAAAGTAAGTTGGCGCAAACACGAAAGTGTTTTTACGTGAAACCTAGCGTGCAGTGTTTAGGGGGCGTGAAAAGTTCGAAAGGGTAAAATGTAGAAGTTCGAAGGCTCTCGATGGTACATCGAACGGTTCCCATTCCCATTCTGCAACAAGAACTCGAACGGTCGTTTTAGATTTTCTCGCGGATCTTCGTGTTTTATCCGTTAATAGAACGACAGAGGAAAATGTGCAAATTGAATTTGAGATACAGTTGAATTCGGATTACATTAAATTTAAAATTCTATTCGATTGTTCATTTGTTAACGTTATACCTGGAGATTTGAACGATGATAGAATTTTAATTTTCTATTTCGTCGCGTTTCGTCCTTAATATACGTCTATATATCTGTTTGTCTGTTTATAAAATTTTCCTGTACTCGGGTCACAATGGTTTCGAAGATTAATTGTACGTCTAATGTGCCTCTTCCACACGGCCGAGTGGGAAGAATGCGGGGGATTATTAAATCCACGGTGGGATGAGTCAGCGATTCAGAACTCTCTATAGAATGGATGACGCAGATCATTATCCAAGCGGCTTTCGCTTCTGAAGAGAATGTACGTAGAAACAAAGAGCAACGTACGCAACCACACGAGATTCTGTTACGGTTGTAGAGAGGAAAAAGATAGAAAAAATTATGAGTTTGCTCTTCCCAGTGGAATCAGTCGATCATTGATCAGACGCGCCTGATCGACGCAGACCCAGATGACTTTTTTAGAGCGTTATACACGTTAGAATCATTTCAGCCTTCTTTTTTATAGCTGAAAATAATAAGGACGATACGTTACAATTAAAAAGCAAGAAAGTAATAAATCATTTGATAAAGCTTCAGTGATATAAGTCAACCCATGGTCGGTCATATCCTTGCGGTGACTGTTGCAGTTACAAGTTAAAGATTACCTGTAATACTTTGAATACATAGGAACAGTTGTTATCGTAAATTAAATGCGCAAATGATAGAAGAATGAGAAAATATTTTCAGTAGAATATGTCAGCCATTTGTCAGACACTGTGGAACGAAGTCTTAATAGTGGCTGTGTAAAGATATGTCCGTCCTCTTTATAGTCGAAAATCATTAACACGTGTACTTAACAATGACATCAGTGAAGTTCAATTATACCAGAAACTTCTTTTCTGAAATTTCTACAAACATTACAATAATCATGATTGAATCAAAGTACAATGTCCGCGAACGTGTCTGACCTACACTCGGCACACAAACCAATAAGCGTAATTATTTACGAAGCAACGGTTCCCGTCACTAATTAACGCAATGCAAGGATTATCTTTTAATAGAAAGCTTAATAAAAGCGAGTGCGCAACGTAATCGTGACGGGCTGAGCATGTAACGAAGATATTTTAAAACGGTCCCCGACGAACGTTAAATCCGAACGTCTCGAACGAACGTCAGCCGAGCGTCTTCGCGTTTCCTTTTAAATTAAAAATATAAATTCATTAACGTTCTCGAAATGTTTCCGCGCTCGATCGAGCACTTTGATTGGCTACCGCGCTAAATATAGACATCGATTTTTCTACCGTTATTTCCGACATGCTGGAACCCTGAGAATTTTAAAGGAATCGGTCGAATGCCGGGGAACGAACGATTGGTCCCTTAATGACGATCCCTTGGCCTATATCGCACAGCGATAGATTAAACACTGGAACCACCGAGCATTTAATATAATTCATACGTAACTTTTATAAAAATAGTTTATACGTAAATATTAAAGATACTTTTTTAAAAATTATGATGGTAGATTCTGTTGAGCTTCCATAGATATTCATTAGGCATAGTATGCGAGTGAAACTATTCATTTGTAAAATGATGTCGGATATTTAACACTCTTGTGATATCAATCATTCCGACGCAAGGGAACTGAACACAGCGAAACTAAAGAAGTCATTTTGATTGATAGTTCTAATGTCAATTTCTTTTGTCTGAAAACTTGAACGGAAGAAACGAACAGAAGAGAAGATGAGAAGTAGAAATCACCATGATCCTTGCGATCCTTTCGACGTTGTACGATAATTTGCTCACTCGTCGATCGTTGTCGAGAGTTGGCTCATAATTATCCCCCAATCTGCAGACCCTTCGTCGCCTATATCGATCCCCAACGCCCTTCATGCACCAGTTACTCCCATTGCGAGAATAATTGACGACGACGAAACTTTCGACTCACATTCAGGATCTAATGAAACATACCATTGAATCTGATCGAACGAGATCCGATATCGTCGACGGGAGTACATTCCCTTACGAGCATAGAATTTACATTTTTCCATTTCTCTTACACTGCAAACTTGCAGCATCGTGTTCGATATCGTTAATGGAAGAGCACATTTTCTTACGAATGTGGAACTTCTTGTTTTTTCTTGGACTAGAAACTTGCAGTATTGCGTTCGATATCGTTAATGGAAGAGCACATTCTCTTACGAATATAGAACTCTCATTTTCTCCCTTCTCTTGCGCTGGAAGCTTGCATGCTGCGTTCGATATTCTTAACGAAAGTGCAAATTTCCTTACGAACGCGGAGCATTTATATACTTCTAGATTATTTTGTTACTTTCTTTTGATTAATGTCACTCAATTAATCATATACCTGAGAATAAAAACTCCCCTAAGCTTCTCGATACTTCCATTTAAGAGTCACTAGCTTCCATCAACAAGATTTCTTATTATCTCACACGATTCCTCGAAATAATAAAGTATTCACTGAACACATCTTAATGAAATATTGAAAAGTACGATTTGACGGTTTCGTCAGAAAGTTGATCCAATTCCAGGTGGAAGATACTTGCAACTGTTCCACGAAGCGGATAGCTTCTTACCCGATCGAAATTCTCGCAAAGAAAGACGGGTTGGCATTGTTTTAATTAATCCTCGCGAATGAGGGTCACGTTGAAAGGAACAGCCGCGTTTTTCGATCGCGCCGCTCCCTTCCGCGTTGCTGACGCCGCTAACGACGCCTCTTTATTCCCGCAGAGCAACGAGGAAAACGTCTATCGCCAGCACCGCCGCCGTCGTGACCCCGACGTTGAATTAAAAACAGTAGGAAAATGTCGTCGGTAAAGGTGGCGGTGAGGGTACGGCCCTTCAACAATCGGGAGATCTCCCGCGAGGCACAATGCATCATCGACATGTCCGGCAGCACTACTTGTAAGTAGAATAAATCCTCTATCTCAACGGTCCTCAACCTTTTCTGGGTGTGTACCAGCCAGTCAATGTAAATGTGATCGAATTATAGTAGAACCCATATAACAATTAAAATATTTTGTGTTACAGAGTTTCACGTTTACGAATTTCGCGTGAAATTCCCCTTTTAGATAGCGAGCCAACTTGTATTAAATTGCTTCCCTGTTTGTACTAGTTTCTTATGGAATATCTCACCTTTATTGTTCCTTTCCTGACTCTTTTGTGTACGCGCATAATCTTTTAAGTTCGATGTAATTTTACGTACCACCTGTGATATTATAGGTTGAGAACCACTGCTCTATATTTTCTCGTCACATGAACGCATATTAGAACACTTGGATTTATCGAGTCTTGCATTTGTGTGTCCTCTTTTTTCTCTGTCCGCTTGTAATTTAAAATATTAGACTTGTTAGTCGATGAGTTCGTCGAGTAACAATGTGATCTTAATGAAAAATATATTCTTGTTTTTGTTTTTTGGTTTTGTTTAGTAAAAGGGAAGTGAAATATTAAAGGAAAGTTGCTAGCACCATTGTAGTAGCATAGAGTTTACGATATCCTTGGGGATAAGTACGGAATTCGTTGGAAATGTAAAGATTAATTTATTCTAGAGAATACTTGAGCTGTTCGTGTTCACTTCTGGATAAAAGAACGCGTTCGGCATAAAAATGTGCGATTTAGATTACATAATCCTTTGGTTCTCTTCGCGTGTTTCAGCGATACTGAACCCCAAAGCACCGGCGGGCAGCAAAGATGCAGTCAAAAGCTTCAATTACGACTACTCCTACTTTTCCATGGACGTAAGTATTCGTCGTTAATTGGACCAATCTTTTTCATACGATCTTAACATTTCATATGTCTACTTTATCAGCCATAATTTTAACTTAAATGTTGAATAAAAAGTAGCAGTTGGCATAAGAAAAAATTGAACACAGTTAATAGGTGTGTTTAAATTCATTGTAGCATTAATACCAGAAGATCGAATCGCTTTAAAGATGAACCTTAAAGATAAACCGGTAAACTGTAAATGCGCTAATATTATCAGCTAGTTTAGTTAAGGTCAGAGGTCGATGGCAGTTGCCATTAAAACTGAGCCTTACTCGTACCTACCTCGATCGCCTAGCAGTTATTAACTTTACGGTAGACAAATTGACCTTTTTTGCGTGTAACTCAGGCGAAGGGTAAGCCACCAAACTTGATTAAACGTACCATTAACGTTGAAACACAGTTTTGTGATTATTGGATTGTAGTAGAATTATGCGATCGTGTTAGTTACATCATGTTTTATTTTTATCAATCTGAATATTTTGTTGGACGTATCGCAGTACCAAATATTTTTACACTTTTCGCTATTCGAGAAGATGATACCAAAGGAACTAATAAATTGTTTATTGTCTTCGCAGCCGAACGATGCCAATTACTCCTCCCAAATCATGGTCTACAAAGACATTGGCGAGGAGATGCTGGAACACGCTTTCGAAGGTACACATACTGTCAAGTTTCAACGACCAGTTTCTAGATTCATTTGTCAAAAGTACACTTTTACCTTGGATAATATACACATCTATTTATCATTTATAACTATGCTAGAAGATTAAGAATATTATTGATTGAGGTCATTCTGTATAGGCTTCAAATAATTGAAACAATGTATATCCAAATTCTGGCATACCACGGTATTTGCAGCTAGGAATTGATGCACATATTCGCATACCGCTAAAGCAGGAATTGGGATTCAGATTCCCTGGCATTCTTGACATACATTCACTCCATTACACAGGAACCGCGAGCACGTGTGCGAACATTTGCCTTTGACCTTTAGTTGATAAACTGTCTCCTCCACTGAAACGTTGACATCTACTTAAAACGAATCGTTTTTAATATTTATCGAAAATGAATTGACGATTATTTGAAATGATCCTTCGTAGGCTACAATGTCTGCATATTCGCGTACGGACAGACCGGTGCCGGCAAATCTTACACTATGATGGGCAAACAAGAAGAAGGTCAAGAGGGTATAATCCCTCAAATTTGCAAGGACCTCTTTAGGAAAATCAGTCGCAATTCAAACGAGTCCCTGAAGTACTCGGTGGAAGTCAGTTACATGGAAATCTACTGCGAGAGAGTGAGGGATCTGTTAAACCCCAAAAATAAAGGAAACCTCCGTGTACGAGAGCATCCACTTCTTGGTCCGTACGTCGAGGACCTGTCAAAATTGGCCGTAATGTCCTATCAAGATATCCACGACCTCATAGACGAGGGTAACAAAGCAAGGTGCGTAAGAGTTCATTATTTGTTATCGTTACAAATAAATTTATAGAGTCACGCATTCTATACGTTATTGGCAAAGTATTACGACGAAGTAAACTAATTTTTAAATGTTAATTTGAGCATAGGAGAAAGTGGATTTAATGTTCAGTTTATCTGCTTCTGTTTCAGAACCGTGGCAGCCACCAACATGAACGAGACATCGAGCAGATCTCACGCTGTATTCACAATTTTCTTCACACAACAAAAACAAGACTCCGCGACTGGCTTAGTGACCGAGAAAGTCAGCAAAATCTCATTGGTTGATCTGGCAGGTTCTGAAAGAGCCGATTCGACTGGTGCGAAGGGTACCCGATTAAAGGAGGGTGCCAATATCAACAAAAGTTTGACCACCCTTGGAAAAGTCATCAGCGCCCTGGCCGAGATCGTGAGTAAACATTATGTGCTATGTAGACTATCCAGAGAAAATGGAAACATGATTTCATAAAAGCACAAACTTCTGATCGCACATTTGCACATTTTGCCCACGTTCACGTTAGATGATACCACCTAATTATCGGTTACAGAGTTGCTAAAATTTCAGCCTTTCAAATATATTTAAATACCGATTTATCTTTGTTCTAATATAACTCGTATCTTCTGTTCACTTTGCTGCCCTTTCATTGCGGACCATTAGGCGGTAAGTTCACAGAATTGCTGGCCTTTGTCCCTTTAGTTTTACTCTTAATTCCAATGATACTTCTCGAATGAAAGAACATACTATTTTAATGTAAGAAATCAGAGAAAAAAGTCGTGAAATAAAAGTGCACCAACGTCGATTCGCATTTGTTCAATTTGTGTAATTCGAAAATATTTGCCGTTTGTCTAGGCGACCAAGAAAAAGAAGAAGGCTGACTTCATCCCTTACAGAGACTCAGTTTTAACGTGGCTGCTGCGAGAAAACTTGGGCGGCAACTCGAAAACAGCGATGATCGCGGCAGTAAGCCCCGCGGATATCAATTACGATGAAACCCTTTCCACTCTAAGGTACATTTATTGAACGTCAGTTGTTGGGGTACATCGTAAAGAATAAACATTTTTATTCCCATATTTATGGGACGGTTTATCCGTGGGGGTCCGTGTTTCTCAGAAACTTATGCAGTGACCTGAATAAGTCAGATGGAAATTGCCGTTTATAATTCAAAGTACCAAGAACCCGTGGCGTTAAAGCTTTCATGAATTATAAATGAACCTTCTCGGAACATCTGCCGTGTAATGGAATAGCCGGGGGCATGATATTCGTTGTTATAAATTGTTTATTTCCGAGATCTGATAAATAAATAGCGAAAACAGGGCAATGAAATTAAAAGCGCATTTCTATGGAAGAAATGGAATAAAGTATGAGAAGGGGAGGCCCTCAAGAACGTGCCTCGAGAGGCTCATTAACACATATTCAAGCCTGTAATTTAAGACAGCGGTAGAAATGTTTGCACTTTAATTATGTTGTACGTAAGGTATATGAACAGTGCCATATCTACTTTTACTTAGCTCTCTATAAAACGTTTGATCTGTAACTGGCTCCTTTCACTACGTATATTCTATATTTTTCTTCAACTATAATCATAAATTTCTTTCTCTTTAAATTAAGCGACGGATTCAAATAAGGAAAAGATCCAAAAAGAAATTATACCATTTATTCCAGCTTCTTTTATTGGTCATATGCAAGACTTATTAATTCTAAAATTGATCTAAGTAATACATGTTTTTGGATGGTCTGGAGTCTCACTACAAATTTGCTCGTTGATTTTGGCCACAGATATGCGGACAGAGCGAAACAGATAGTTTGCAAAGCAGTCGTTAACGAGGACGCGAACGCCAAGCTTATTAGGGAGCTCAAAGAAGAGATCCAGAAGTTGCGGGAACTCCTCAAGCAAGAGGGTATTGACGTGCAAGAAGGTGAGTCGTTCTTTTTCTTGTGCAAGGGGTTGGAATTCAGAGAGACTCCCTTTCTGTGCGCGTGCGGGTACGCCTGGTTCGATAACAGCAGGCATGTGGGAATAACGTGAACCAAACAAAGCCAGTCCGTCGTTCCATTTAATATCTAAACGTTAATCGAATCAGTACGTAAAGTAACGTTTAAAAGAAAAGTTGTTGTCTCTTGACATTTGTTTTTCTAACTACTAATTCTAGAGTACAAAATTAAAACAATTTGAAACTTATGGGTATATTCCATAGACTTCCTATGCTTTCAAAGAATATTTTTATCGACTTCAAATAATGTATATCAATAAGAAATGTATATTTATACATATTCAGGGGAAAATATTATGGTACTTTATTTTTTATTCTTTAACAAACATACAACGTACCATTTAACATATTGCTGTACAGTAGAGCATGAAGTACATTCGAATTCAGGATATCGAATCCCTTCGTGTAACTGGGAACTAGTTGTACTATTTTAAAAAAGGATTGTAATTCGTTGAAACGAAATTCTGCTGACACATTGATAACGTTAACACGAGAAAATCAGTTGGAGATTCGACAGTTACCGCAACGTTGCGTATACGTGCGCGTGAAAGAAAGGATTGAAGTAAAATAATCAAAGTAATGAGACAGAAAAGTAAAAAATTTCTGTAAAAGGCGAAAATGTAAATGAAACTAGCGCGCTGTAGGCAAGCCACCATTTACATAGTATATTTTTTTCTTTGTTTCCCTTGTGCTTGACGTAGGGCCAGATGGCAAAGTCACATATGAAAAGAAAGAATCTAGTAAGTAAAATCACGACAATCCATAAAGCGGCAAAAACAAAATCGTTCTACGAGTGGCAAAACATTCGATCACTCGTTTTGCGGCTTGTTCTATTTAAACATCCGCTTCTATTTCACACAATGCCGAGCGCATAATCTGTATTTTTTGTCCGTTTTCCCGACGATTCTTTGTACATTTTGCTTCGCCGCGCGTATCGCATTCTGTTTCTTCCTCCACCCGCTCCACCCGATGCGTTCTTCCCCTGTTGAGCTTAGTTTCACTTCTGATAATTAGTCTGTATAATTGTGTGTAATATTATACATAATCATACTAATAATATATAATATTATATATATATAAAAATTCTATTAATATATAATATTATATACAGCAAAATTAATTATACATAATACTATATATAATAAAACATTATTCATCTTTACAATATTGACAAACATTTCACAGGAATGCAATGAAAAGTTACAAAATTTGTTTTATCATTTTCTCCCATTGTATTGTGTACGTCTTAATTGAAGTCAGAACATTCGTATCCGGGGAAGAGTGTATTCGTTCCCTTCTCTATCGTAGGTGGCATAATTGGCGGCTTTTGACATACGATCGCTCTTCATGGAAAAAAGAAATTAGCAATAGAAACTCTCACCGTATATAGCAACAGTTACGTATTTAGACTCCTCGCATTTCCTTGTCTCGTAAATCGAACTATCCGTCGTCATTGCAACGGGAAATCAAATTACTGTCTGATCTTTCTTATTCCGAGATAGAAACCCGGGACCGACTGATACCAGCGAACTCGAACGCTAACGCGATAAGTTCATTAAGGATCGAGATCGGTCTCAGCATCCACGTGGAATCCTGTTTGCAACCTCGGGAGCATTGAATTAAATTCAGACGCGTAATTCATTTCGCAAGTGTGAACCAGAGTTGGGCACTATTCATAACATTAACATAACATTAATTACTTATTAACTATAATTATTATCATTTAATATAATCGAAATGTAACATCAACGATAAACGATTCACTAGAATCAATTGATTAGAGGCAGAGGCTTATAGAAGGAACGTTGGAAAGAATATTTCATTTTCAAGTGAATCGGTTGCTGAATATTCTACTCGTACAAGCAGGAACGCGAATACCTAAGAAACCTAGGTATTAAAGTATTTAGAGTAATCCTGATTTTCGTTTCGCCTCGCAAATAAAGTCATGAATATTTATATTGCCGGTAAAACAACGAATAAGAGTAATTTATTTGAGGGATGTAATATTAAAGTCTAATGAAGAGCAAGCGAGAACCAAGATAGAAATGTTATTTAAATGAAACCATCAACGTCGAAGCAGTATTGACTAAGATAAAAGAACAAAGGAGATGACGATTGATTGAACAGTCGTTCGAATGAAACGTTTCTCTCGACTACGCCCAGCCCTGGTACGAAACTCAGGCTTTTCTAGTTTCTGTTGTGTCGGAGCTCTTCTTTTCCAGTAAAAGCGTGGTTGTTTGCCTTTCGCTTGTTATCCACTTAGACCCATCACTCTGTCCCCGAAACCGAGCTGATGGTATTGCATGGCACTTGGACAGCGGACAGATCCGAACGCATCTCTCGAACGCTATAATATATGAGCACCGTTCATTAGAACTGAACGATCTCGATCGACAATCCAGCCCAGCAAACGATCCAACGTTCGATCACAGTAATTATTTGATCGTGCCGCCGCTACGCTTCAATTGTAACAGTTGACTCTTCCTTTTTTTTTCTCGTCTCTTTTAACCGAATATCTCGCGATATTTTTAGAGGATGTCCGTTCGCTTGCCGACGTGCTCGCCGAGCTTTCAGTTGGATGTTTTCTCTTCGATGTGCGCCCGAAAATTTTCGAATTCTTAACGATTCTCCGGAACGTGTCGGATTTTGCATTGAACGCGCTTGCACAGAGGGCGAAGATTTTATGTTTCTTTTTCCCCGAGACGCGCAATTTGTTTGAAGTAATTGTCTGTTTACACTATTTCTCCGTAAGAGAAAAAAAAGGAATTTTTTTCGTTCACGTCGAAACACGGATCGCAAGATAAATCCTTGATAAATATTCTCTCTCACTTGCGCCACTGCTTTAGTTATGGCTTTTGATGTTTACGGGACGCGTGTTACATCCCTGGCTGATTCGTCGATCTGATTCTGAAATCGTCTATTCGCGGGACGGCGTTGCCTTATTTCATAATGTTTGACCCACAGGAGACGAAATCATCAGAGCGAACAAACGCGAGGACGACGTCAAGGAGAGTCGGTCGAGAATTCCGTCTCACACCACTTCGACCATCGCTGAGGAAGCGGTTGATCAGTTGCAGGCTTCGGAGAAGCTGATTGCCGGTGAGTTTGGAGCAAAAGTT